ACTGAGCTCTTACTCTATCCGGTACAAGGTGCTTCCCTTTGTTGTTCTCAGTTAAAGTTCATGATCGCTGAAAAATAGGTGATTCTCTGCATCTGACCTTGAAGCAGTACAATTTGAAGATCTTAGGTAAGTCACCCAAAGTCTACAGCAGGGAGAAGTGAGATAAAGTTTCCAGATGAGATCATCTGACCCCCATCTATTTGCTTGTCCCCATTAAATTGTTTTTCCTCAGGGTGAGAAGTGAGACTGAGTTGGAATCTCAGTCCCTCTCTGAGAGTTTTACTAACCATTTTTTTCTGTGAGGTACAGTATTTTCTCCTAAAAAGAAAAGGTGCTGTAATTTGCCCCTGGCTATAGACAGTTGTTTGAACTGTGGTGCTGTGGTGCCAGGTGCGATGCAGCCCGCCCCTCTCACCTGTCAACATCCTAGAGAGCTCCCTAGTTCTCAGCGAACTCTCACATGATGACATTGCAGAGCCCCCACCCTAATTCTGCCTGCTCTGCTAATGAAATAAAACAGGATTTTTTCTGTAGTGCTAATCCACTAGGTGGCAGCAGACCCATGTGGAACAGAATGAGTTTCATGAAGAGGCCATAATGGGACTGTTCGGTTTTTGATGAAATAATAATGCGCCCCCTTTTTTGGTCAGAAATAGCATGTTCTTTTTCTTTTGGAAAATGTAATACATTCTTTAAAGTCACATTTCTGGAAGTAATGGTGAGAATAGGTCAAAATTGTGGACAATGTGAAATATAACGTGTTCAGTATGTTCCTGTGGAAATTCATTTTGTCTTAATCCTAGCTCTATATAAGTTCTTAAGAAACTGTTTACTACATGGAAATAGGACTAAATAAATAATTCTTTTTGTAATTTGAAAATTACTTCCTAATTCTGTTTTATAAATGTTTTCTTTAATATTGAAGTTACGCTAATTCAAATACATCATAAACATCTCTATGAGACGGTTAACATGCTTGAAAACTAAATTACACTGCAGAGAATGAGTGACATGTAGCTATAACATCTTATGACTGCCTCATCTGGTTGATAGCAGACTCCTCATTTTCTCAGTTTTTTACATGGTGAACAAAAAGTATTTGCTACATTAACAATTTAGAAGGTGCCAGAGATTGTGACGCCCAGACCTCGCAAAGCAGTCATGTGTCAAGAATCACTGCAATTGGAGTCACCATCTGAGTAGGGTGTACTGAGTGTGTCTGCTCAAAACATTAGGGACGTTCCCACATGGTGGACTTAGACGCCATTCACTGGTGATGGCAGAAGTAGTTCTCTTTAATTCCTAAAGGCTGGATAATTTTATGCAGTGTTTATATATTATAGTTGTTTATTCTTTCCAAGATAAGATTTTAGTCTTTTTTTAGCTGTCAACTTATTCATGAATATTAAAGTTCCTGTGTGTGACCTGCTTTCTATGGGATTTTCTGGCTTTTTCAGTTATCCTAGTTCTTCATATGTTAAGAAATATTGCCTTTTTCCTAAAATTATTTAATCTCTACCTTTGTTTTTAAGGATATTTATTGTAATAATAGCCACATCCATTTCATCCATGTATTTTTATTACTTTTTACCAATCTCATATATGAAAAGTTAATTACTAATGAAATCGAAATTCTCAAATGTTTATTTGCACTTGTAAATTTTAAGATGATAACCTTTGCTCACTTTTTATTGAGTTGTTTGTATTATTTTGTAGGCTTTTTTTCTATTTTACGGGTATTCTTTCTTTGTCATGTTCTTTATTTTCTTCCATGTATATTTCATTCAGTATATACTTACATTTCTAATATATATATATATATATATATATATATACGTTTTGTATGTAACATTAAAAATGTATGTATCAAGTTGGTCAGTTTTTCCCTCTGTGGTTTTAGTTTTGTGTCATGCTTAGCTAATATCCCTCACTCCAAGGTTATATATTAGATCACATAATAAGTTCATTTTTGTATTTCCATATAGTAATTTGTGTTCAAATTTTTCTCATTTTTAAATTAATATTTGTTTGTGATGCACATTCATTTTGGGGGAATTTGTGCATGTACATCACATCTTGATCCTGCCTTCCCTCCTGTCTCTCCTCGTCTGCAGATCCCCTTCCCATCCTTTCAGAGAACCAACTCTTTTATTCATTGACCCTTTGTATTGTTTTCTTCTGGTCTTAGTTTCATTCTCTGATCTTTATAATTTTCTCTCTTGTATTAGCTTCAGATTTGGATTGTTTTTGTCTGTCTAGGACCTTGAAATGCATCATTAGGTTATTTACTTGGGATTGTTCTATCCTTTTTATATGTGCATTTACAGCTACAACCTTCCCTCTTAGAACTACTTTCATTGTGCCCCATAGCTGTTGGTATGTTGCACTTCCATTATCATTTGATTTTGAGAACTTTTTCTTCTTTGATTTCTTCTGAATCACTAATTATTATTTTGAAAATGTATTGTTTAACTCTCTGTGTATTTGCATAGTTTCTGTGGCTTCATTTACCATTGATACCTAGCTTCATACCACTATCTAACAGATGGTCTATTTTGGAAAAAGTTCCTTGTGCTGTTGAGAAAAATGTATGTACCATTGCTGTTGGGTGAAACATTGTAGATACCTATTAAGTTCATTTGTTCAATGATGTGGTTTAACTCTAATGTCTCTTTGTTGAACTTTTTGTGTGGTTGACCTAATGGTGAAAGTGGGGTTTTGAATTTCCCCACTGTGATTGCACTGGTGTCTATCTGATCTGTCCTTTTAAGTCTAGTAGATTTTGTTTCAGGAAGTTGTGTGTACCAACATCTAGTGCATAGATACTTAAAACTGTTCTCTCTTCCTTTTGAATCATTCCGTTTTCCAGTGTGTAATGGTCATCTTTGTCTTTCATTTTTCCAGTTTTTCTGTGGTTTTTAGATTTAATTGTCAGTGCTTTCTTGGTTCCCAGAGAATTTCTTTTTTTCTTTACTAATTTGTTTTCCAGGTCTCTTCATTCCATCTCCCAGAGAAGGTGTTTTGCTACCAGTCTTTATTTCACCATTTGTAGTTCTCAATTTTTAATATTTAAATAAATAATTTATTACAAATTTATTTTTGCTATATGATGTGAGGTAGGGTTCTGTTTTTCCCCAAAAATATTTTTAGTCAGTTGTCCTTATAATTTATTAATCTATTTTCATCACTTAATGTAGCTTTCTTTAAAAAAAATCCTTTAGAGTTGAGATAAATAAATACCTGCCTTTATTCTACAGAGGCCCATACTATGTTTCATATTACCAGCATATCAACGTACTCTTTTTAAGAAAAAAGCTTTAAGCCTGTATAAGGCACTCCAGGAAAGTCTGTTGAGATTGAAAAAGAAGTGTTTAATTACAAACAGCCATAATTACAAACAACAAATAAAACCTCTCCATCAGACAAAAGGAAAATTGACCCTCAAAACAGCAAGAAATTATTTCAAAACTGTTGCAGTATGATTCCTCTTCAGTATTTATGTTTTTTAGCTTTTACTTAAAAGCAGTGTTTATTACTTTATCCTCCATAAACAAAAGTTGTCCTGTGTTTTGGAATATTTTATCATTCTCTTGATCAAGTAAATAAAGACTACAAAAAAGGCATTTAAGATACATAAATAGACCATTTATTTTAAATATAAAAGAATGGGAGGGTAAGATAGTTCTTCATTAGTTCTTGGAAATGTGAAAATTCTGTGGGATGGGGTTTCATTCTTACTAGTACTTGACACGATGTGCAAACACGCATGAAACACAGACCTCCTTTTATTAAGAGCCTTTTTCCTCCTGCAGTGGTCACAGACATCAGGGTTAGGAGTTTAGCATGAGTTAGGAACGCTTGACTTTTCATCTTAAATTCTTTAAATATTCTAAACCTATGCAAGGTAAACTGTAGTACAGTGACTCCACCTGGATACAATTGTAGACATTTTTCAACTTTTGTTTTACATTTTTTTGTATATTCATGTTTCTCAAGTTGTCCCCACCATATTTTATACCTTTTCCTGATTCAGACTCTAGTACCAAAAGGAAAAAGTCACACTGTACCTTTTGGATGTTTTAATATTTTGAGTGCTTTAGTTCTTAATTTGGAAAGCTGCCTTGGAGCTAAGGATGTGTCTCAGCAGTAGAGCCCTTGCCTAGCATTCATGAGATCCTGGATTAGATCTTCAATATTGCAAAAAGTAAAAAATGAAATATTTATTCTTTGTTGTATTTTTTTGTGTGATAATTGATATTTTTAAAAGCCCAGGCCAGTTTTCTTGTAGATTATACTGGTCTAGATTAGTCTGATTTTTTTCCTCATAGTTAATTGAGGTGAAATATTTGGACAAGGAAAAAAATGCACACATCATTTTGTTACTTTTCTTGTCCTATCCTGTGAGATTAATGTCAGTTTGTCTCCTTGTTAGTGCTAAATTTGATCATTTTTTAAACAACAGATACATCTGTGATAGAATCATCTCCTAAATGTCATCTGTGTGATGATAATATGAAATTATGTGAATGGTCTATGGCTTTAGCATCCTTTAATAATCTTGCTTTTAATGATCAGTTATTATATAGATAATTGAAATTTTTTAAATTTTCCACATATACTAACTTCCACATACACTAACTAGAAATATTTCACTTTATATTATAATGAAATATATAATTTGTCTTATTGTTCTCACAAATTTTATGACAGTAGAATTACGTACAATTCTGTGTGTCATTATGTTTATTTGCTATCTTGATGGAGTAGGGAAGAGGATAATGTTTTGGGGTAATAAATAAGTTCACATAATAATATTCTTTTGATGATTAACCCATTTTTGTTACTAATTAGATTTAAATAACCCATTTCTTTTTCATAGTTACTGTTTATTGTTATCTCTTTTTCTCTTTTAAATGCCTAATTATCTAGTTGCTTCTAATTTTATTACCTCTGTGACCCTAACATTTATAAAAATTACATATTAATTTCCATTATTATAGCTGTAGAAATACAAAGGACACTGAATCAACTTGGAACGCCTCAAGATACACCTGAATTGAGGCAACAGCTGTAAGTACTTAACAACAACAAAAAGTTGCTGTCATGTTATTTTTGTAGTATGTGTTTACTAGGGAAAACAATGGAGAATTAGTAAGGTTTTTTTAGCTACCTCATCTAGACATTTGTACCATGTGGTTTTGTAGTTTTGACTTTGCCCAGAGTAGGAAGATGTTTTTAAAGATCTAGCTTACTCTATCAAACTAAAATGTCTTGAGTTGGCCTTTCTTATGCTTTTTACATTGGTTGTTTTAGACAGCTTTTTAAAAATCGGACTTATACTTCTCAATTTATGTGATTTATTTCCCATAGGTAACAATGCCTTGAGTGATCAGATTTTTATTAAATTTAGGTCTAGTACATATCAGGTTTTGTGAACTATCCTCCCTAACTATCCTTCCACGTCTTTGAATTTCAAAAAGCACTAGCTTCTGTTAAAAAAGTTATAATGAAATGATACTTTACATATTCCAGTAAATTAATATGATGTAAGAGTAGTAGCTATACTTTTCTGTAGTACATCACAGATCTGACAGTGTTTTCACATGACTTTTCATCTGAACATAACTTTTCATGTAAACAATTGGAGTGAGATAGATTAAAAGAACTATTTCTAGTATGCCTAAATGGTATGCCTGGTGTGTGTCTTCAGGGATTGATGATTTGCCCCAAATTATTTATAACCTGACTTTTAACTGTTCAGTGCTGGCTCAACTACAAATTTCAAGTAGTATATAGCTAATATGTGGTATCTCCAAAGTGATATCTCTGCCTTCGAAAGAAAATTGCAAAGAAATAGATAATAACAATTTATATTTTTAAGAAGTAGAATTTGAAAAATTTACAGTTGTTTGTAATTTTTACTTTTTCTTCAGTGGGTAGAATGCCCCAGATCTATAAATACATCTTCATTTATTGAAACAAATTAAAGTGAAAAGGAAATGCATGATTCTGACATACTATATTTTGATATTAATAGCAGAAATTCTGAATATATATATAAGCATTATCATTGTGGTCTTCTTTTGACTATACTACCATTTCCAAAGATTTAAATAAGCACATTACAGATAGAATATTTTGTAAATAAAGATATAAATAGCTTATTTTTTTGTTATTAGTTCCATACAGATATTACACGTTTTTATGTAGTATCCCTTTAGTATGGCCAGTATGTGATTAAAATGAGAGCTAATAGACACTGAGAGGCACTGTTGTTGGAATTTATAAAGCATCAGCTTAATTCTAGCTTATTTTTTTTCATCATCAGGTTTTTTACTTGAAAATATTTTTATTTTTTACATTAATTAGGAAGGTACAGGTATGGGTAAGTTTATATCCTCTTACAAGGAAATACTATTAATTTTCTCCAAATCATGCTTAAATAATAGTAAATTTATACTATGATAAGTCTTCTATTTTTAAAGGTACTCATACAATATAAATGTAGAGAAGTAAGAGAAAGCAGATCTACTCAAGACCCAGGAACTGGGCCAAGTGGATGGCAGCACAGCTTCCTTGCTCAGCTGACCTCTTAAGTGAGATCAGAGAAAGGGCTCCCACACTTCCCGGGTCTCACACTTAAAAGTCCAGACAGCCAATATCTCTCCATTAAATCCCCTCCTGACTTGAGTTATTCTCCCTTCTAAATGGCTATTGATATTTCTGTAAGCTTGTTTACCCTGTCTGAATGAAAAACTTTTATATAATATTTGTCAAAACTAGCATATGAAAACTTGGGTTTGATAGAGGAAATTTAGAGCCATTTTATAAAACTATAAGCAGTTTTGTGGTTTATAGTTTAAAACTAAATATTTTGTAAAAAGTGATTTTTCTGAAGCTGTTGATCAGGGCTGATGAAAGTGGCAGAGCTGTAGCATTAAGAAATATTATCAGTTCTTTGGCTGTAATTTGTGTTTTCTCACTTTAGGCAACAGAAGCAGCAGTATACTAACCAACTTGCCAAAGAGACAGATAAGTACATTAAAGAGTTTGGATCTCTGCCCACCACCCCCAGTGAACAGGTATTAACCTTTAAGACACGTGATGTATTCAATGTGAAAGAAATCAAATGCATTATTGAATCTTTGAACTATGATGGTAGAAAAGACAGTTAAGGGCCAAAAAAAAATCCTATTTAAGACTAGTTCACAGAACACAAAACTGTATTTAATTACTCAGGTAGTATCCTGTGATTCAGTAAAGCAAGAATTATTTCCATGCAGTTGCCTTAACCTATAATTAAGTAAGTGCTCAGAAAATGCTTCCTAGGTAATTACTTCCCAGCCTTCCAGGCCTGGCTCCATACAGCGTGTGTGCGCGCACACACACATGCACACACGCACACACATTCAACATGGAAGGCTGCCCAGGGGCACATATTTATTTCCATACCTATGTAACGGAAGTAAGTTACTACATAGGTAAGAGTGGCAGGTTTTACTTGACCCCCCCCAAGAACTACTTTAAAATAACTTCAAAATCGTGACGCAGTGTCTAGCAGGTACAAAAGTTTGAGGTAAGAAATCTAGCAAGATGAGCCTTTTGCCTCAAGGTAAATGTGCACAGTATTTGAACATATAGCCAAAATTTTACTGAGAGTGAATTAGTAAATTGGGGGTTTAGTAAAATTTTTAGAATTAAATAAAGAGCCAGCCAGCTCGATTCTAGTAGGCTTCTTTCCTCTTTCCTCTAGCGTCAAAGGAAAATACAGAAGGATCGCTTAGTGGCTGAATTCACAACAGCACTGACAAACTTTCAGAAGGTCCAGAGGCAAGCTGCTGAGAGAGAGAAGGAATTTGTCGCTCGAGTAAGAGCCAGTTCCAGAGTGTCTGTAAGTACTTTACGTAGCATTGTAAAAACGAACTTGATATTCTCTCAGGGTCCTAGGGAAATCTATTTTCGCGTGACTTTTTAAGTCATAGATATCTGAGTATCTTGGAAATCCATACTTGAATGTTTCTTTTCAGACTTTTCTGCTCAGTTTTTAAGAGTGATAGTTATGTATTGTTGTTACCTTGCCTGTGTCATGGAACAACAGATTTCAGACCTCCTACGATACAGAAACTGTCCGAAAAGATTCGGAGTGAAATGGTGGTGGCTTCTCACAGTGAGTCGGCACCACGGCCCTCTACTGCGTACCTGCTAAGGCAGACAGTGCCATACTCCCAGCTCCGGAGGAGACCGTGGGGCTGAGCAGAATACAGTGTATAGAGCAGGAATTTTGAATGCAGGCCTGGAGAGGGTTAGACAATGAGCACAAGTGGAATTTTGAGATAAGCTAATATTAAATTCCCTCAGAAACCATCCTGAATTATTTTCTTATTCTTTAATGTAGAAGTTCCACAACTACATTAAATTTTAACCAAATATTTATTTGATTCATAATAATATTTGGTGAATATTTATTACTTGGTCTTTGAGAATATTTAATGAATTCCTTCCTTGTTAGTTTATAATTTTATTGTTATTTGAAACAGTTGGCCTAGAAAATCAGAACAAGAATTTTTCAGCGGAGATTGATGGATCCCGGGGGACAGGCTGAACTTCTCTGGGCAGCTGACACCTCTGTTCGGTTCGGTTCGGGCCGTGGGGGGGGGAGTGCTTGGGAGCAGCCTGCTCCCTCCAGAGAGGTGCAAAGGGCGGAGCCTCGGCGAATGGCTTTCCTGCTGGCCGCCTGCGAAGGTTTAGATTCAGGATTTGTTCCTAGTGTGCAAGACTTTGACAAAAAGCTGACAGAGGCTGATGCTTACCTACAGATCTTGATAGAGCAACCAAAGCTTTTTGATGACAAGCTTCAAAACTGTAAAGATGATGAGCAGAGAAAGAAAATTGAAACTCTTAAAGAAACAACAAATAGCAGGTAGAATCAATTAAATACTGCATTGTGTTGCTGCCGACTGCTTAAGTACTATTAACCCGGTAGATGCAATATATCAACCTAGTCCCTTGGAACCTGTGATCAGCACAATGCCTTCCCAGACTGTCTTACCTCCAGAACATGCTCAGTTGTGTAAATCACAGCAGCGTCCATCTTCCCTACCCGTTGCGCCTGTGTTAGCTACCTTGGGACATCATCAGACTCCAGCAGCACATAGTACAGGCAGTGGGCACTCACCACCTAGTAGCAGTCTGACTTCTCCAAGCCATGTCACCTTGTCTCCAAATACAGTCCCAGAGTTCTCGTACTCCAGCAGTGAAGATGAGTTCTATGACACTGATGAATTCCATCAAAGCAGTTCATCCCCAAAGCGCCTGGTAGATTCTTGTGGCTCTGCCTCAGTCTTGACCCACAGCAGCTTGGGAAATAGCCTGAAGTGCCCGGACACCACAGAGTCACTGAACTCCTCCATGTCCAATGGGACAAGTGATGCCGACCTTTTTGACTCACATGATGATAGAGATGACGACGGGGAGGCCGGGTCTGGGGAACAGCATGAGTGTTACCATGCACCTCCTGTCACAGGTTAACCTGGGAATGGACCTTACGAAGGTAGTTCTTCCAACATTTATTCTTGAAAGAAGATCTCTTTTAGAAATGTATGCAGACTTTTTTGCACATCCGGATCTGTTTGTGAGCATTAGTGACCAGAAGGATCCCAGGGATCAAATGGTTCAGGTCATGAAATGGTACCTTTCAGCCATTCATGCAGGAAGGAAAGGATCAGTTGCCAAAAACCGTATAATCCCATCTTGGGTGAGATCTTCCAGTGTCACTGAATGTTACCAAATGACGCTGAGGGGAACACACAGCTAGTTTCAGAAGGACCAGTTCCTTGGGTTTCTAAAAACAGTGTAACATTCATGACTGAGCAGGTTTCCCGTCATCTGCCAATTTCGGCCTTTTATGCTGAGTGTTTTAACAAGAATATACAATTCAATGCTCATATCTGGACCAAGTCAAAGTTCCTTGGGATGTCAGTTGGGGTTCACAGTATAGGGCAGGGTTGTGTCTTGTGTCTAGACTACTACGAACATTACATCCTCACATTCCCTAACGGTTACAGAAGGTCTCTCCTCACAATGCCCTGGGTGGAATTAGGAGGAGAATGCAGTATTAATTGTTCTGAAACGGGCTGTAGTGCAAACATCGTCTTCCACACTGAACCTTTCTGTGGGGGCAAGAAACACAGAATTACTGCTGAGATTTTTTTCTCCAAATGATAAGAATACTTTCTGTTCCATTGAAGGGGGAGTGGAGTGGTATAATATATGTAAAATACACAACAGGGGAAAATACAGTCTTCGTAGACAGAAGTTGCCTATAATCAAGAAGAAAGGGAGGAAGTTGGAAGACCAGAACGAGTATGAGTCCTACTGCCTTTGGAAGGATGTCACTTTCAATTTAAAAATCAGAGACATTGATGCAGCAACTGAAGCAAAGCACAGACTTGAAGAAAGACAAAGAGCAGGAGCCCGAGAAAGGAAGGAAAAGGAGATTCAGTGGGAGACAAGGTTATTCCACAAAGATGAAGAATGCTGGGTCTCTGATGAACCTTTACTGAAATGTCTTGGTGCTGCGAAGCATTAGGTTGGGAAACACCAAGTTTACACCTGATGACCAGGGTAGCAGGGCTAATGAAGCAACAATCAGTCTTCCTTTGGGAGAACCTATGGCTCCCTTCTCACTGCAGTGGTTCCTATCTCAGGGATACTGAACTTTCGACTTTCCTGACGCAGATGAACAATTAAGCTGGAGAAGCTTCTGTTTTCCTCTGTGGCAGTTACAATTTTGACTTCAGTCTTGAGAAAACTTCAGGTTTTGAAACAAGGTATCTGTTCCTTTTCCGAAACCCATGCTTTGAAAAGCATTTATAAACCCAAATCTCATATTCTGCACTCTAGTTCTGCTTTTAAGATACGACATACAAGGTGTCTACTTCGTGTGTCTTGGGTTCTATATGTACATACACATAGACACAGCTATACCTTGATAGCAGGTTTTTCATAAATACCTATAAATACTGGTTCTTTAGTTTTAGAAACTAGTGCAATGTATTAAAAATCAAGTATTAGGAAATTTCATCTATTTTAGAATTGAGCAATTACATTTATATAAACCTGGATTACAGTTTAATTATTCTTAAGGCTTCATAAAATAGTCTTTTCCAAAAAAAAAAGAATGTTTCTCCTTATCTACACATACACATAGATACACACGTATGTGTACATCCCAAATATATAAATAAATTTAGATTATTTTAAGGTAAAATGTGAACGTTGTTTATTTTTTTCTTGTCCTTGTTTTCTTTGCTCTCTCTTAAACCATCCTATTACTTAATTAATCAGGGCGGTTTTCCTGAGGACAGCTCAAAAGAAAGGAATCTTGTGTCCTGGGAAAGGTAAGAAACATAAAATATTTTGTAGATCAGAAGGCAGTATTTTGTTATTGTTCCGTTTAGTTTGGAGGGAAGGTCTTGCTGTGTAGTCCAAGCTGACCCTTGAGCTTCCAGTGGAGGCCACATGGGCCTCGAACTTGTCCCCTCATTTGAGAGGCGTCATGCACCACCACACTTTGCCAAAAGTAATTGTAGTCTCTGGAGTAGAAATAAAGCTTTCAGTATATTATAGCATAAATATCCTATTTTATTTATAAATTTAAAAGCAATAAATTTCAAGAATGTTTATTACAAGATATGTAAAATAAATTATCCAAATATTTATTGACTTAATTTTTCACATGGTTTATTTCCTTATGAAGTTTAAGTCAGCTAAGAAGAAACTTACTTGCCAAATACAGTTTTCAGTAATTAAATAACAAACCAGGCGTGTTTGCACATGCCTGTAATCCCAGTACTTGGGAGGCTGAGGCTGGAGAATCACCATGAGTTCAAGGCCAGCCTGGGCTACAAAGTGATTTCAGTGCCAGCCTGAACTACAGCGGGCGAAACCCTGTCTCAAAAAGATAAAAAAGAAAAAAAAAAAATAGCAACTCTAAACCCATATAAGATAAAATAATAAGACAATTAAAAAATGAGTAAATTTTGAATTCTTAGCATTTTTTAAGGTGAGCAATTCCCAGAGTTTGAAGAACAGTATATCCTATTTAGAATTTCTTAAGTATGCAGTAATTCCTATTGTTTTGGATACCAGCTCTTTTTCTCATATTCTTTCTATTAGCCAAACACAACCTCAAGTGCAAGTGCAAGATGATGAGATTACAGAAGATGACCTCCGCCTCATTCACGAGAGAGAGTCTTCTATCAGGCAGCTTGAAGTAAGACTCACTTTGTAGAAATTGGCTGCTGTTGTCTTAGTGAGTTTATGCTCACAAGCTTAGATGATGCTAGGAAAGAAAGAACACTAAGTAAAGGTTTGAGTTTACTGCCATTTCTATTGTATAAATTGGAACAGTAATAATCTCTTTAATGTTTATGCTAGGATAAGAGAATATGTTTCCCTGCCTGAGCTGTTTCTTTTAATTCTGTTAAGTCACTTTAGTATTAGAAAATAGCAATTTGGAAGTGTCTGTCCAGAAACTCTGGATTGCTTCCCATGGTATATGATACACATCATACCTTCATGAATAAAACTATGTACAATAGCTTTAAAGGTACTTTATTTCTTTTTAGTATGTTTATAACATCAGAGAGACCTAAAGGATTTGTTAAGTCGTAGTTCTTGTGGAAACTGCCTTGTTCTTAAAAAGTGGGCTAATACTAACTAACAGTACATACAGTGTGTTGAGAGCTTTCTAACGCCAGGCACCAAATGATAAATTATTGGTTGGTTACCTCAGTCATCACAGAAGCTCTATGATGAGTTAACTGTGTCATTATCATCTCCATTTTATAGATGGGGAAATGAAGGCCTGTGATGAATATGTAATTGTCCCACCCACATTATGGAATATTTAAATGTTACTTTTCAATTGGACAAAATAAGAATTACATATTAAGGAAAATAAATTTATAACTTCTTTACTCATTAAATTTATAAATTCTTCATCCAGTAGTGAAATCTATAAATTTACTAATGCACTACATGTTCAAATTTACTAATGTGAGACTTTAAATTTGTACCTCATGTTTTACCATTTTAAACTATCAGTATATGAATTTTTACTAGAAGTATGTCATAAGAATATTTATACTCTTGTAAACAGCTACTCCTTTGGTAACAGAAGTACTAGATTGTATCACTAACACTCGGAAAGATCAAAAGTATTTAAGTCAAAAATCCATGACTCTTCTATACTGCTTAATCATTTTCAGCCTGCCTCACATGAATTTTTATATCGCATACTTATTTTAGAGAACTGGTGGCTGTTGTTCAAAATCTCTTCAGTTAGGATTGCTTATGCTGAGAAGTTTTCCTGATAGTTCCAAGATTTATATATTTAGTCAAAGTACATCATCACCTATATGAGTGATGGTTTGGGTTTTTAAAATTTTTCTCTATTATGTGGGGCATAAATTTCTAATAATTATAATAATGTCTTTTTTGTCTTAGGCTGATATTATGGATATTAATGAAATATTTAAACATTTAGGAACAATGATTCATGAACAGGGAGATGTGATAGGTAAGTGTACTGATTTAGATTCCATGGGGTGGGAGGAAGTTACATGTGACCTACCTGCAGTAGTTTTCTTGAGCAAGAGTAACTACTTCCTTTCTGTCTCTTTGAGTTCCCCTGGAATCAAAGCCATAGTCTGTACAATAAAGTGTCCTCATTGGCATTATCTAAAACAGACTTTATTTTTCAATGTTACTGGTTTAAGCAGCCAGCTTTGTTTATTTCAGAAGTCCCCCAAGTCAACTACTGCTGCTGAGACTATTAATGATATCATGTATCATCATTCCAATGTATTTCTAGGGCCTTTGGTTTCAGTGTTATCCCTATTCAGTTTTTATCATTCCAAGCACTTTTTAAAAAGGTTTTTAAAGTTAATTTATTGGTACAATTTAAATACACATTATGATAACTTTCATCATAGAGAATTTGTACCTATACATGATATATCTTAATTCTTTTTTATTCCCCATTCCCTTCCCCTGCCTTCAACCCCTATGCCCCATCACCAAGGACTTTTAGGGAAACTTGTGCTATTTGTGATTGTACATACTATCTTGCCTTTGAGTTATAGAATTGGTAGCATTTATCCGATTGTTAATTCTAGTAAAATTTTGGTAGATTAACTTAGGTTATTTAGATGGTAAGAAATCTGTTAAAGAATTCCTTTTTAAAGAGTTATGAAAAGTCCTTGTAGGTTTAAATATAAAGTCCTTCAGTTAAGATATAACTGTCAGCATTGATCAAGATTTTGATTATTTTTACCATTTTAAAATATGAAAGGTGTGGCTCTTTATATGTCTGAAATACATCCTATATGCCTTCTAAATTAGATTAAATTGAAATCCTTGTACGTTTAGTTTAAAATGGCTATTCTTTGTTCATTTTCACCTACATCTATAGCCCCCATAGATCACAGAGTAAAATTTTTTGAAAAAACAGTTTATTCATATATGCAGCAAATGTTATTGAGTACTGAGTACGTCCGGGCACAAAATCTAGGCATTGAGGATTCAGCTGGAATTAAACAACTCATAAAAAACCCTGCTCTCATGTCTCTTACAATTGGGGAAAAGAGATAATTTTTAAAAACTAAAAGTAAATGAATAGTGATAAGTGAATGCTATGTGGAAAATAAGGCCACGAGGCTGCGAGGGTGGAGGACATTACTGCTTAAATGGAGGAAAAGGCCAAGTGTTACTGACAAGGTGACATTTTGGTGAAGCCTTCATAGAAGCAAGAAACCAAAGAAGAGAAGATGCTCCGTGTGGAGGGACCAGCAGTATAAAGGCCTGGAGGGAGAAGCGCACCTGGCACTTTTGTTGAGTGATAAGAGCAAGAGGAAGTTGGTAGTGCTGTCTGAGATCACAGGTGGTGGTGCCATGTAGGAGCCCGAGTACTGAGAACTTCTATTATTAATGACCAATGGGAGGCAACAGTAGAATTTGAACAGAAGTGTTATGAACTGGTATAGGTTTTGTATACTCCCTTGCCTGCTGGATTTAGGGCACACTGTAAAGCAGCAAGACGAAAATCAAGGAGAGCACTTGAAAGGTAGTACAGTAATGTAGGTGAGCAGTCCTGTCAGCTTGGATCATACTGGAAGTCCAGAGGTCATAAGAAGTGATGGAATTCTGCATATTTTAAAAACTTGGAACCAAAAGATTTACTGACAGGTTGTGTGTGAGTGTGAGAGAAATGGTTAATTCAAGAATGACACTAAGGTTTTGACCTGGTCTGCTAACATGGTGTTAGTGCTGTTTTCTTAGACGGGGAAATGTGCAACCAGAGAAGTTTTAGAGGGGTATAAGCCAATGTGTTTGGGTGTGTTAAGTTTGATGACGAGTGCGAGAAGAGGATGGCTAGACTGCAGTCCTTGAGTTACATGATTAGGAAGAAATGCACAGATGGGGGTAGGCTCTTGCTAGGTGTGTGTGCAGTTCCTAATAACACAAGGAAGTCAGAACACTCAGGCTCTGCGTGTACTTGGTAGATCAGGTCATGAGACGGAGAAATGCCTTCTGATTATTCCTGTGGTCTCGGTAAGCTGAAAGTCAAGGTTTCTGACTGACAGTAATAATGCCTGAGGAGAAATAAGAAGTTGGAGGAAAAGGAGGAGAGTATGACAAACTTCCATCTGTTAGGGAAATGAGGTGGGCTTGCTCTCAGTAGTCAGATGTTAAAATGAAATAAATCAGCATCAGATTATTCTTTTTGCATCTATGTTCAGCTGCATGGATTTTTGTCATGTAAAGATAACTACAAGGGAAAGGGAGCTGAAGATACATCAAGACTGTGATGTTAAATGATTGCCCATGGAGGTCAAGCTAAGTAAAAGGGGAAGGGAGACTCGGTGTGTGAGGGAAAGTGTGGTAGGATCATCATTGAAGAAGAGGTGTTAGAGAGACTGAGCTGTGGAGATAGCAGATGGTGATGAGAGAGTGAGACTCCTGAAATTGTGGTCAGGGAGCAACTGCATGTATTGGATTGTGACCATCGATGACAATGGCTGGGAGAACAGGCAGTCTCTGAAAAAAGTCTGATGGAGGAGTAGAGAGACCAGAGTACTGGAAGGGTCAGCCAGTGGATAATGGAATCATCAGTGTTTATCAGAAGTGCTAAATAGGGAGTCAGTGAGTCGGGGGCTAAGGCACTCAAGGAATTACAGACCATGAGACCCAGCAATGTCCGCAACCTAGAGGGTAGAACAAATTTGATAGAATGAACTTTATAACTGAGAGTTGGTAGGGACGGGGAGGAGGCATGAGTCCGTCATGCTGCAGAGTGACCCCTGCTCCACCTCCAAGTTAGAGGAGAATGGGAGGAAAGCAGCCACCAGAGAGGCTGTGTGGGTCCCTGGTGGGGACTGGCTTTCAGTACAGAGGGGGGTTGGTGATGGCTGTAGAGCACACACCAGTTTTCAGTCTCTGTTTACCGGAAAGTTGTCACGCACTTAGAACTGAGCTGGCCTTCGTACAATGCAAACTGGTTGAACATAGGTATTACGCTCTAATGGTTTTAAAGTAGATTGAGTTTACAAAGAAGTGAATAACAAATTGGGAAATATTGGGAATATGTCTATCCAAATATTAGCATTTGGATAATTTTTTATTTCTCTTCGGAGAGAGAGTATTCTTTCAAGAGTTGCAAGGTACCATTTTTTCCCATGTGATGGGAAGCCTGGGTAATAGGAAGAAAGGGAGTGACCTCCCTTTGTGCTCACTGATCTTGACTTAGAACAAGCTACAGTTTGAGACAGAGATGAGCTTTTGTGCTGACCCTGATTTGGTAATTGTAGGGTGATGATACTGTTTGAGGTGGAACTGGAGTTGAGTTGTAATGAAGATCATCAAGCTCCTTTTCTTCAAATATTTGTGTTGATTGGATTTCCTAAGAAATAGTATAAAGAAGAATGATGTGCACCTTAAAAAAATTCAGCTTTGTGATGCAGTATTATTAACATTTCAATAGTGAGCATAATAGTCACACCTTGAATGAGATTTAGACACTTGTTCCTGGAGCATCAATATGTGTTAACAGTTTTCTATGTGTGCTTGTGTTTTATTTTAAAGACAGTATAGAAGCCAATGTAGAAAGTGCAGAGGTACATGTTCAGCAAGCAAATCAGCAGCTGTCCCGGGCAGCGAATTATCAGGTAACGTTAACTGTAACACATTTCCTTGTAGCTGAAGCATTTGAACTTACAGTGTGTGCGGGTTATGAGAGAGTCCAGGGCATCGCTGGGTTTAAAGTGGCTGCAGATGTTAATTTTACAATCTCATGGAAGAGGGAGGGGTTAGAAATACACAGCCTGTTTAAAATTGATTTTAGCGTTTATTCTCCAGAATGAAGCGATTAGCACCCCACAGGGGTTGGAAGTTTAGTGGATGTGATAGTGTTTAGAGTCCTGAAGGTTGCAGTGGACAACTCCAGGCTTTTCTGATGGTGGGCAGATGTCATTGTGCCGTTCCAGCCCAGAAACCTCTTTGGTAGGCGTTTTCTTCCATCTTTTACCCTTTAGTTTGACCTTTTCTTTCTTATTCTCAGTGCCACTGTTGACTAAAGTGGCAGAGATCCTTGTTCTAAAGAGATCTCTTCAGGTCCTATGAAAATTATATTAACTTGGAATGTCATTAATTGATAATCTGTCAGAATTCTGCAGACCCTTCTCCAGGAATGACTGTTTCTTCAGTGACTCAAGTGAATATGAGGACTCTATATATATGTGTCAAGTACAACTTATGTTTCAAACACCGTGCACATATTAGGAGTATGATCTACTAATGTATCCTAATTTAGAATTTTGATGTTCAACAGGAATAAAACCAGGCCCATAGCACTTGATTTCCTTTTTAAAGCTTTATTTTTTTTCTTACTGTTCATAATTATTGTTTTCTTGACCTTATTACTCTCTTAGGAGCTGTCTAAGGTATTTCAATATGGTGCACATCTTCAGTTGCTTCTTACTTTTCTCATTAGCCTGAGAGGTCGCCTTTCATATCGCTGCCGTTTTTCACCAGACACATCACTGCATATTGAGTGGTAGTTGTTCACTGATGAAGTGACTCCTGTTTACCAGCTTTGTGCATATAAATCAGAATGCAGCTCAGTAGAATTATTATTGCCATGTCATGGACTTTAGATGTCTCTCATGAATAGCTGAAGCCACATGCACTGTATGTGTGCACATACATGAAAATTTAAACGCCAGGAGCCTTGTGGACTGTTGGTGTATGGTTGCTGGAACTTAGTATGTAAGGGGATTCATCAGTGACTGAGTTTACCTGGTTTTGTTTTGCTTTTGGATTTTTTCTCTTTCTTGCTTATTGCGGAAGGGCAAGATTCTAGGCACCCTGGGGAAAAGGTACCTGCCTTCCCAAGCAGGTGTGGAGCTGCCTCCAGATTTAATTCCTGTAGGCCCCAAGGGATAAGTGAAGGCCACACAAGTGCTAAGAAAGGAAGCAGTCTTCCACCTAGTTCTACTTGGAAGATTGATACTAAATTTATGCCCTGAAAACCATGATGTTTCTAAATAGTTCAGTGAATTAAAGATAATAATACTCATTGCTATAGCACCCAAGGACTTAATTGCCCCACCCTAAGGAGGAGCTCCCTGGATGACAAATACATCGTGGTGGGGTACCCACAGAGCCTGAGGAAGGGATGATACATTGTTCTTTGGTATCCAGATGGATCATAGGAGAAATATTTATGCATGATGGTATTGAAACCAGCAAAATTGCGTTTATTACTTAAGGAATATTCAGTTGAAAAATTAGATTAATATGTGGAGTACTGAAAGTATTCATGTTTTTCAGGGTAATTTCAGAGTCTTATATGTGTCATTTTGTAAATTGTATAGTACTCCTTTTGACACAATGTAAATTCACCAATTTTTCTACTTTATGAGAAAAAGGACCCCTGCATGTTGGTATGAGTTATGCAAGACACTAAAGAAAACAAACCAGGGATGAAGAATGAAACAGAACTCCTTAACCTTTGTGTTTTGAATGACAGCTTTTATAATTTTATTAACTGTTTGGTTTTTTATCTCCATGCTGACGTTCTTGAATACAGTTGCCAGAGATTGGGAACAGTTTTGAAACTAACTTCAGTAAATGTTACCAAATATTTTACTTGCTGATCCTTTAAAAGAATTCATTTTTAGGACTAACATTTTGATAAAAGTTTAAAAATATATAAGCTTTCAAACTGTTGTTTTTTTTCACTTATAGGTAGCCTCAGTCTGTTGTTTAAATCAGTAAAATTTTTCTTTGTCTTTCCTCTGAAGCGTAACTACACCCCCGGAGAACTTACCAATAATATTCTAAAATTACAGCACTACTTCAGGAATATTTTTTGAAAAAAATAGTGCCCTGTATGTGGTAGAGATTTTTTTTTTTTTAAAGAGTAAAATAAGGATAACATAATAATAGGGGGGACTTAGCATATTACAGACAAAATGGTAGGAACTTATCAATGGTTATTGTTTTACATATTATTATCTACAAAATAGTTTCTCAGGAAAACAAATAGACAAATAATAGTGCGTTAGAGACAAAAGAGGTAGGAGATTATCAAGAGTTGTTGTGCTATACTTTGGTGTGGTAGAGATTTTTGAGAAACAACAAGCATAGCCAAAAATTTGAGGGCAATAAACTGTGACTGATTTTTCTCTTGCAAAGAGCCAGAGTCTGTTCACTTGCTATGGAGGCACCCCACTAAATCTGTAAACATGTTTTTTTTGTTTTTGCATCTGCAGCGCAAATCCAGGAAAACCCTGTGCATCATCATTTTTGTCCTTGTCATTGGAGTTGTGATTGTCGGTCTCCTCATATGGGGACTGAAATCCTAAAGTTGTAAGGAGCACACTGCTGTACTACATTGTCTAGATTATGTGGGAAGATGCCTGTAATCATGTTTCTATTATTATGTTAAAACTATTGCAAAGGATGGTTCCCATACTTAGTTATTTTCATGGGGGAGGGGTTCCTTTGGATTAAATCTGATATTTTCTAATACTAAAAGTTTTTCTAAGTATCATCGCTAGCATAACTGTCATGCTTTTTAATTTAATAACTGTAGGGTTTCTGCCCACATCGCACATGGCTTTCATCTGTAATTTATTTACCTGTTTGACTTTGGGAATTAGTAAACTTAAAGATATGCGTATTCTGTGCACATTTCTCGGTCGCTGTGTAACATGCACCAGATTTATGTTACTTCAATTAAAATCTCTAATTTTGATTTGGAACAGTGGAAAAAAATATTCTCAGTAACTGAAAAAGTTAACATATCTGTCTGTATTTATTTTCTAGTTCACAGTAGCACAAATTGTTTATTTCGTTTTTATTATTGGATCTTTTTGATACCCTTGTTTTCTCTGAATAAAATTAATGAATAATTTCAGGTATATCTTATGCACCTGATGTATATATATTAAGCATTTGTGGTAGATTGCTGAGTAAAAATAGTAAGATTAGATTGTTCTTACGTATGGTCTATTAAAGTCTGATATTTACTAGGAAAAGTGTAGATACTATACATGTATAATGTAATTTGGAGGAAGAAAATTAAAAGATCCATATTGATTTCTATTCTGTTTGGATTCTAGAGTCCAACTTGTTATTCCACTGAACTATCTTAACAGTACCATCTGGTTTTGGGGGCCATTATTTACTTTCCCTTATGCCTAAAGAGTAATGACTACATATGTACCTTTTGGTCAAACTTACTTTTAGGAAGTAATTTTCCCACCGTTATTGTTTTCAAGCACCTAAGAGTTAAATTGTATTGTTTACATTTTATGCCATTTTGTACTATGCTTCCTTAGAAAAGAAACTGGATGTTTGCCAATGAACTCACTTGCCTTTTTAAATTGAAGTTGTTTTAATGCACTAATCTGAATACTGTTAAGAGATTGGTTAACTTAGTTTGTAGTTTGTATTTTATACTGTTCTTATATAGTAGTTTGGTAGTGAAGATATTGTTTAACATAGCAATCTCTGAGACTTCAAATGGGAACAGATGAAATATGAAATAAGTAAATAAGCTGTATCCTTGCAACCAAAATAAAAAAGATTTAAAAGGTCTCCGGATAGGTCTGTTTTCTAAGGACTATGCATTCCTAGCACCAGTGCTTACTTCACATTTTTGGTGCTGTGCTGACTGAAATCTCTACACCAGAGATGTAACTACATGCACTGTGATTGTACTCTGCATCTGTTTGATCGCCAGGTTACTGAAAGTTTTTATTTTGGGACTCTTAAACAGTTTTGTCGCTGACAAGAAGCAACTGCTTTGCATGTCAGCAAAACTCATTTTTTTCTCAAAACGGACTTTAGAAAACCTTTTTGTGAGTGGAACTTCGAGACTTTGTGTTGGCAGAGCGAGATTGCTTTAGGAGACAGAGTGGGCAGTGCACAGAGAATTCATACGCACGCTGCCTGGCCCACCAGGCCTGCTCACGCGTGGTCTTTCTTTGTGAGTGCACAGAGACACGTGCTGTTTAATGCAGCATGCTGGCGTCTTCTGGCTCCACACCAGTACCAGTGGTATCCACAAGTCAGTTACTTTTCACGAGGGGTTTACTTGATAAAATGTTTATTCTCATAGAGGCCAAGTGCATTTACTTTACTTTTATTTATTTCACAGTGAATTCTCAGTAACAACAAAAGCAATGGCAAGAATATTTTTGGCGTTTTAGCGCCTTTATTTGAAATACAATCATTTATAAATTAACTGGATGACAATCCGTGATTTGAACAGGAACATTAATGGTTTGCATTTTTTTTTGAGCAACAATAATTTTAAAACAAAAATGGCAAAATATTTGGAATACAAAATGGATAGTTTTAAATGAAAAAGAACAGTTTCAGACCATTTTTAGAATTGCTTTGGAACAGGAAGGTTGCACTGTGAAAGATACCATGTAGATTTTTCATGACTGGACAGTGTGTCTGAATCTGTTTGACTCACACTGAAGAACTTTCCTATCAAGTGACACATGTGTACTTTATTATGCTGAAACAACACAAGTGAAGATTAACTAGGCTTTTAAAGGACAGAGTGAAGTTATCTGGCTCTTGCGTTAGTTATTAAGTATTTTGAAAGTGTTTCAGCTTTGCAGTGACAGTACAAGAATAACTGGTGCCACTTTCATAGAGGGCGGTGTTCTTCAGTAGGCCTGTGGTGATCTATAAAATAAGTGTATGTATGAGCACAGATGGAGCCCCGCCACAGACGGCAGACCACGGGCGCAGGGCCCGGAGTTGGGCCTACCAAGCATGCAAGGTGCCTGCCACCGTCTGTATTGGGGACCAGCAACACTGCACATCAAGGAGCCTGTCATTGGGTCATTCAGTGTCTTCACTGCTTTTGCTCAAAATAGTAAAATCTTGTGTGCAGAATGCTGTCTTACAATTAGCAGTCTGTCTAGACAAATCTGTAGTGAAAATAAAAATGACTTCGACGGCTTCCCGTTCCTTGAGGAAGGTCTGTGGTTTAGCAAGGAGTATGCAGATAGTTTTTGTAGTTGGTGTAATTTTTGTTAGTGTAGAAAAATTATCATCATAAAAAAAACCTGTATAGAGAAAATAGTCTTTGTCCACTTCAGTGGCTAAGAGCGACTTACAAGGGTAACTTATTCAGCATTTATTTCATGAAAGCCAAAACTGAACGTATTTCTTACGTGGACAGAATACTGCAGTATAACTAAAATTTCAAAACAGGATGAAGCAAGTTGATTGGGGAGGTTGAGAGGTGACTGACATTTCAATTCATTTTATGTGATGAAAGTTCCTTATTATTAGTAAAGAACATCAGGCACCTTTCTTTCTTGAAAAAAAAATTACGTTTTCACAGTTTCATTTATTAAAAACGAAAGCTAAACTTTAAATTGCAGACCTTGTCGGCCCACCATAGCAGTTGACCCTATTAGCAGGAAAGCGCACCTACTGAATGTACAGGAACACCAACCTGGAAATGTTACTGTCCCACTTTGCGAAATTTGTGGTGTCTCTGCTTAGCTCCCTTAACATAGTTCATCAGTCACCCAAGATAAGGTCATTTTCCCCACTGGTCCACTGTTAAGAATATGTGTCCTCAAACTACAGTGACAAAGGAGATAGAAAAGAAACTGCCTATCTAACCTATGCGCTAAGCATGCGGGGTTATTTTCCTTCAGTTGTATTCTCCAAAAGTTACTGGACTCTGAAGTACCATCTCATTCTCAATCTTTAAAAAACAGGTAGAAAATCTTTTTTCTCCTTAGTGCTTTTTTTTTTTTCCCTACTTACCTGGGATTGAACCCAGGGCCTTTGCACTGAGCAGCATCCTCAGCTTGTTCGTTTATTCAGAACTAGGTTTTCACTAAGTTGCTAAATTGCACAGCCTGGGCAATTCTACCTCAGCCTCCCAAAGTGCTGGAATTAACAGGCATTTGTCACCATGTCTGACTCTTAAATTATTTTTACATTCCAGTCAGAAAAACAGGCACTACTCCACGCAGTGTAAATATGAAAGGTTTTTTTGTTTTAATTTATTTTATTTTGATTACTTTTTGGGGTATATTTTAGATACACATAATGATCACATTCATCAGAAGGAATTTGTACCTGTTCATGGTCTATCTTGGTCTTCCTTTTTTCACCTATCTGCTCTCCTCCCTTCAACCCCTCTTCCCCTCATTTGTTTCCCTTTTTTTCCTTCCTTTTCTTTTCCCATCCTTCCTTTTCCCTTCCCCATCCCTTTTCTACCCTTCCCACTTGAATATCTGTTTTCCAGTATCTATTACACACTTTAGTCCTTATTTACCCTTTTAGTTTCTCACACCAGACAAATAATGCAATATTTAAACATGTGTGTCTGATTTATTACACTAAAGAGGATGGACTCTTGTTTTTTGTTGTTTTGTTTTCCTTTTCCCTTCCTTTCTTTCCCCTCCCCCTCCCTACGTGGGGAATCGGAAGCTTCCTACGTGACAAGTACAGGAGAGGAAGGCACTGGAGTGCAGAAGAGAAAATGTCAGCCACTGTTCCAGGAGCTTGTGAGTCTTCGGAGCTCCAGAAGCTTTCTCTCTGCCTGCACCAGTGAGGTGTCACTCTCAAGGAGCTGTCACCAGCTGGCTCTGCTACGACTGGCTGCAAAGTAGGTGACTTGCAAGACATTTGGAAGCTGCTATGAAGTCCATATCTGCCGCCTGCCTTGCAACAGCCTTAGAGGAAGGTGGACTTCTCCCTCTGCCTTCCAGGTCTCATGGAAATGGTTCTCCTTGGCCAGCTGTAACTTAGAAACAAAGAGCAAAGCAGATTCTGGAAAAGGTAGTTTCTGCCTTCCCTGTAGCGAGAACTGCAAAACGATGACACAGGTGAGACTACTGTAGCACTTGATGAAGCACTGACGTGCAGAGGACAAACCTCGTGAAACAGACTCTTCTTCAAGTAAAGATGTTAATAAAGTAAATTTAAAAAAACCTTTGAAGCACTGTTCTAGTGGTGAGTCAGTTTTTCCAACTGCAAGAAGGTGTGTATGTGTCAAGACTTGGGCCCCAGCACCTACAAGTTTCCTTTCTACCTCCCATCCGCTTCACATAGCAGTTGCTCAATAAACACTTGGCTTAATTTGGCATTTATTTTGGGATAGCTTTTTGCCAGGCTGCTATGCATATGGGCACAGGGAGTTTAGGAGTTAGTCAGCCAAGTGTGGTGGCACATGCCTGTAATACCAGCACTTGGAAGCTGAGGAAGGAGGACCGCAAGTTCTAGTCCACCTGGGGAACGTAACAAGTGTCCAAAAAAAAATAAAGACTAGGGATGTAGCTCAATGCAAAGCCCCTGAGTTCAGAGTCCATTACTACAAAACAACAACAAAGTGAACCCAAAGAATGTGGTCCTACACTCAAGGAGCTTACATTTTGGCACTTGGCATTATAAAAAGAAAGAAAATGGTGGGTGAGAAAGAAGACACAAATAGAAGGAGTAAATAAAGATGCATTTATCACCCTTAGAATAAGTTGGCCATTGGCACCTTATACTGTGAAGGGCCAGCCTTTCGTTTATCCATTTTCCTTAAGTAATTAAATTTCATTTTCTTTTCTCAGGCTTCTAGAGTATCAGTGGTTTTCTAAAGAGAAGCAGCTCACTTGAGTAATGATCTGTAATGGGTATGTCTCCCAGAGGAGCTGTTGTGATGGCAGTACTTGGATTCAGAGCTGAAGTGTCTTGGGCACCCAAGAGAGCGCAGACCATTAGAAGGAAGGGAAAGAGCAAAGAAGAACTTGATTTCTGTTTCATCAGAGTGAACCCAAATGCATTAAGTATAGTTCTTTTACAGTGTACCTTAAATTGTTTTAAATTTACCTTTGCCCTATCCCTTGGCAAAGATTTTTAATGAAAAGGTGATTTAGAGGAAAACCTACATAATGGCTCCTGCTAATTTTCCTAATTCAAATTCTGCATCAATATGCCAGTTGTAATCATTTGTTTTGGATTCATTTGGTTAACATGGAAAGTAATAGTATCTTATTTTTCTCCCAGTAATCTTAATTTGAAATGTGAAAATAGAACTAAGTAACCGACAGACTAAATAGGTTTTTATAGACACTGTTTTTTCTGGCATGTTTTTAAGAGGTTGGCCACTTAATTAGTTTGAGTGGGATTCCTGTAGGCTTCGTGTAGTGATGGCATTTTACCTAAAATGTAAGTGGTAGAAAGCAAAACCAGATTTCCTGTGTAGCAGTCACATACATAACACCTCTCCTTGTTTTAGAGGGAGTCTTCTAGAACTGAACTGAGTCTTTAAATAAACTTGAAAGGGCAATGATTCCTACTTTGGCCAACCCAAAGTACAAATTTTTAAGTGTTTACTGTAAGTACTGTCAGCAGTTGCTAACTCCAAAACCTATGAACACTGATGAGTAACAGAAATGTATTTCTTTAGCCTCAACTTAGACTTACTGATACATAGTTTCACTTTCTAATACACACTGAAAGTTTTATACCAATAGTTTAATAGTAGATCTGAAATACATAACCCAGACCAGGAAAAAGATACAATTTTCCAGAAATTAAGGATTTAATTTAACTCGAGTAAG